AAAAAAAAAAAAAAAAAAAAACCTTCTCCTCACGCTTGCTGTCCTTGACATCCGCGCCACCGCGATCCACGAAGAGGAGGAGATCGTGCGTCTGCCGCACCAAATCGGCGGGGGTTTTGGGCTTGGACTTGAACAGTGCCTTCATCTGGGTCCTATCGGAGGCTCCGGGTCACCGACTGTCGACGGCGGGGCCCGCTTCGCCGGTTGGCCGGGTCTGGATGATAAACAAAAATCCTATCGTTTTTCCGGCCGGGGAATTTTTTTTGGGGGGGTGGTCGAGCACTGGAGCTATGAGTGGGTAATGATCAGGCGACGATCAACGTACGTAAACGGCTATCTATATTTTTTCGGATTTAATAGATATTAATCAAATTAAATTTAATTTTTATAGTATAAATAATGTATTAAACTGACTTTAAGTAATAATAAAATTCCATTAAAATACAATAAGAATGTAAGCATATCCCTCCCTCTATATACTAATTCAGAATGAGTCGAGTATAAGTGGCAGACTCGCATGATTCGAGATCCTATGTGACAAAATTACATGTTTCATTAGTAGGCTTAAGTAGATTTTAATTTACTACCAATTTCAGTAATAATTAGGTCCAGATTATCCATAAATATGTTGATTATTTATGGTCATGCTTCATGTATTAATTGCATTTTAATATCATTTCTTATTATAATTATTTCATTAAAAGGTATTTTAAAAGTTAATAATTTTTGTATTTTTTATTGATTTTACATATATGATATATCAATTAAATTTTTGATTTAACATCCATATTATAAGTATAAAAAAATTATATTTATCGTTATAAAAATTATTATAATATGACACATGTAAGTCGCATAAGTAACAAATATCATTCTAAAATATATAATAATATATATCTTTTTGTAAAAAAAATAAATAAAATTTAAAATAATTTTCGCATTAATTTTAAAAATTTATGAATAATTTTTTAACAAGCATCCGTGTAATACACGGGAGTTGTACTAGTTAAAATTAAATATTAAACTTTCTGTTTATATACAAAAAAAATTGGTAAAAATGTCTATTTATATACAAAAAAATGGTAAAATGTAAAAAAAAAAAGGACAAAGTTCACTTTTGGTCCTCCATGTTTAGGGGGTATCCAGACTGAGTCCCCATTATTTTTTGCTGCCCAATTTTAGTCCTTAAAACAAAAAAATGTAATCCCTATTATGTTTTGGTGCCCAATTTTAGTCCTTAAAACAAAAAATGTAGTCCCTATTATGTTTTGGTGCCCAATTTTAGTCCTTAAAACAAAAAATGTAGTCTCTATTA